CCCCAAAACCCCAAAACCCCAAAACCCCTTTATTATATAACAATATTGAAAACAATGAAGTCCAAGTAAATATAGACCTAACATATTCGTCAATTATTTTTGTGATTGATCTTTATTTAGACACGTGAATACAGATGAAAGTGGAGTTCCAGTCCTGAGGAGTTCTATCAAGCAAGGATTTAATAACCTCAAGCTTGATGGAGTAGAGTTCAGCAAATTTAAGGTATTAGAAAATGTACTGAAATACTTATTAAAACTTGAGATCTGAACTGTTATATAGAATTCTAAAAGGAGAAGGATCAACTCCAAATTATTTAAGCAGAAATAATATATTCTCAATTCCGAGAAAATCTATGAAGCTATCTAGAGACCTGCTAACTCTTTTTCCTCATAAACCAAGCCAAAAGTCTGAAAAGGTGAATAAGTATGCATTTGTATCCAGAATTATCGAATAGCTTTGAATATAGGTTCTGAGGCTCTAATTCTCCAGTCAGGATTCTGAAAAATTACCAACGGCCAAGTAAAATGCACTCTGATGAAAATAAACTGACCGAGAAACTAGGTTTTGACTTACAGGATGATTTTCAGCATACCCTGACAATTTTTAACACATTGCAGCATATTCCAAATAGGTTTTTGAACCAGGATATATTTGCCAGGATTAAATCTCAGGAGAGAGAGAAGGAGGCTCATGATGTGTTTAGAGTTCAAGAAAAGGGACTTGCAATTGACGAGTAAATTGGGTTGTAACTTTCTAAAGACAGATGATGACAATAACTGAAGGATTTCAAAATTCCAAGAAATATCGATACATGAATCAGATTAATGAAATATTTAAAAGTTTGTTCTTATTCCTCAAATTATAGCTCCAAGATATAACCTCAAAAGCAGAAGTGATTATTCAGAATTTCATAACAGAATCAAAATGAATTGATGGAGTCAACAGTCAAAGACTCAGGAGAGTATTTGAGCTTTTAAATCATAGGGGGTAATAACCTAAAACCTTCATCAAGGTACTCTCGGAACTCAGTGTATTCAATCAGACTGAGAAGCCAGAAGTAATGTAAATGGTAAAATATTTAGATCATCCCTCGATTTTCCTTCAAGTAATAATTCAAAGTAGTAATTAATAGAAAAAGATAAAGGGAGGAATCATTTCAAGTACTTTTTCAAAAGCTTATCCTCTAAAAGAGTGAATCTATTTACAAGGTATCCCAGTGCATCATGCTCTAGGACTGCCAATAAGGCTCATAATATGTTAAAGAAGAAAGTTTTGAAAAAATATTGAAAAAGTAAGATGAATATTAATTAAAATTCACTTCCCTGAAATTTATAACCTAAAAGACTACTGTTAAATTAGAAGACAAGTATCATAGCAGTAAGAAAGCCAGGAAGCCAATACCATGAGAAAACACCCCAAAGATGATAGCCAACAACTCTGAGGTAGAAATAAACTGACTGGAGCCTCGCTATCATGTTAATACTAATCGGAGTGGGCTGAAAGCTAAAGCATAATTTAAAATACCCCATTCAGCATTCTTATAAAAAATGAATGGAGTAAATGAAACATTCAGAATTTATCTTTCAACTATCCCTTAACCTTCAGGGGTTTTGGGGTTTTGGGGTTTTGGGGTTTTGGGGTTTTGGGGTTTTGGGG